CCGCATGGTTAAATGGGCTATCTTCTTGAGCCAGTACAACATTGACATCCGTCCAAGGCCTGCCATCAAGGGCCAAGCCCTAGCGGACTTTGTGACGGAATGTACCGCAAGGGCAGCCACGGACGGGGAGCCCTCGGCTACCTCGGACGACTGGTGGACCCTCTACACTGACGGCTCCTCCGCGACCAAAGCATGCGGAGGAGGGGTAGTCCTCATTACTCCCGAGGGCTTCAGGGCCTACTATGCAATCCGCTTCTCCTTCAAAGTCTCCAACAATGAGGCCGAATATGAAGCCCTCCTATGTGGCCTTCGGCTGGCTGCCAACATGAGGGCTCGGCAGATCCACATCAAATGCGACTCCAAGTTGGTCGTTGGCCAAATCTCCGAAGAATATGAAGCCAAGGAAGGAAGAATGAAACAGTACAAGGAAGCGGCCAAGGAGTTGCTTAAGGTATTCGAGGCACACTCCCTCACTCAAATACCGAGGGCTCAGAACTCCGAGGCCGACATATTATCTAAGCTCTCGGCTGACTCCCCCGAGCACATCTCCAAAATTGCCAAAATCGAGGAACTCAGCCTCTCAAGCATCCATGCAAGCCCCGTTATGAACATACAACAACGTCAGGAGGATTGGATCTCAGATATCACCGCCTTCATCTCCACAGGGCAACTACCCGAGAATGAGGCCCGCGCTAAACTGACAAAGCTGAGGGCTCCCAGCTACACCATCGAAGATGGGAGGCTCTACAAACGATCTTACAATGGCACGCTACTTCGGTGCCTTCATCCAGATGAAGCCGAGGTCGCAATGGAGGAAGTGCACAGTGGCACTTGCTCAGCTCACCAGGGACCCTTCTCCATGTCCCGAAGGCTCATCCTCCAGGGTTACTTCTGGCCAACCATGGCCAGGGATTGTGCTGATCTTGCCCGGAGGTGCACCGCGTGTCAACATTTCCAGAAAGCCCCCGGCAGGCCAGCGGTCAACTATGCCCCCATCAGCACATCTGTCCCTTTTTCTCGATGGGGGATAGACCTTGTGGGTCCTCTGCCGAGGGGTACCTCCAACAACAGGTACATCATTGTGGCTGTCGACTACTTCACCAAATGGGTGGAGGCTGAACCCCTCGCCAGCATCACGGAGGCAAAATGCCGTCACTTCATCCTCAAGAACATCCTCACAAGGTTTGGCGTCCCCCAGCAGATCATCTCCGACAATGGGACACAATTTGAGGCAGCCCCCTTCTGTGCCCTTCTGGAGGCATGGGGCATCAAACACACCTTCTCCTCCGTTGCCTACCCTCAAGGCAACGGGCAAGTAGAGAACGCCAACCGGACCTTGCTCGAGGGCCTCAAAAAGAAGCTGGAGGCCGAGGGCGGTGGCTGGGTAGAAGAACTTCACAACATTCTTTGGGCTTACCGCACCACCCCTCGGCGAGCTACAGGTGAAACACCCTTCTCCCTCTGCTACGGTTTTGAAGCCAAAGCTCCTACGGAAGTCACCCTTCCTACCCGAAGGGTGATCCAGTATGACCCCGAGGTCAACGACAGCAACATGGCCCTCGACCTCCACCTCATTTCGGAACGCCGGGAGCAGGCCTTCATCCGGGCAGAAAACTACCGAAGGCAAGTTAAAAGCTACATCGACGCCAAGGTTCGCACCCGAGAATTTCAAGTGGGGGACTATGTCCTCCGGAGGAGGGAAGCCAGCCAACCAACCGAGGGAGGAAAAATGGCACCAAAATTCGAAGGCCCCTACATCATAGCAGCCATCGTCAAACCCGGGACCTACAAGCTCAAACGCCCCAATGGGAAAGAAGTCCCTAGGCACTGGAATGTACACCATTTAGTTAAATTTTATCAATAATGTAAGAGCGGCCAAGCCCTCATAACTAGTGAATGTACTATCCTATGGCCCAAGGCCTCCAATTTCGAAGAATGAAGATACATTCAAGACATCAAGCCTTCATACTGACTACAGGCCCCAGGCCTCAACACCTACAACATCAGTGAAAACACCACGTGTTTTCAGTCAAGACCCCTCGGCACAAAGTACCGAGGGAGGGAACTCCTATCACCAACAACGAAGAACGCCATGTAATTCATTTCCCTTCGGCACCCAGTGCCGAGGGTACATCCCCACCTTCAACACCAAAAAAGGAAAGATGAGAACACCAAGTGTTCCTACAGAAGACCCTTCGGCACCCAGTGCCGAGGGTACACATCCATCATCAAACATCATCAAAGAAGACCCCTCGGCACCCAGTGCCAGGGATATACTCTCCTATCAACTTCCGAACATCTGTTGAGAAACACCAAGTGTTTCATTTGAAGACCCTTCGGTACCAAGTACCGAGGGTAGACAAGTCCATCAACTATGACAAAAGAAACACCAAGTGTTCCTACAGAAGACCCCTCGGTACCAAGTACCGGGGGCTACACATCGAAACTAACACCAAGTGTTGTTTCTAAAAGCCGTACCCCACGAGGACGCATATACCGAAGGCGCCACCATCGGTGCCGGCGGCACGTAGTGCCCCCGGCCATTTGCAACCAGTGTGCAAATGAAAACCCTTCCTTGAAACGCTTTCCGCGTCACTACCCCCAGGGTATGACAGGCATGAGAAATGCCCAGGATTCGACTTTCAAAAACGGAACGCTATCCGCGTCATTACCCCCAGGGTATGACAGGCATGAAAAATGCCCAGGATTCGAATTCCAAACCGAAACGCTCCCCGCGCCACCACCCCAAGGGTGTGGCAGGCCACAGACTATGTCTAGCGCCGAGGGGACGACTTTCAAAAATGAGGCGCTTTCCGCGCCATCCCCCAAGGGGAGGCAGGTTACGGACCACCATATCTTGTGCCCAGGAAACGTCCCTCGATCCCCTCGGCACTCGGAAGGTTAACCCGAGGGAGGAGAGCCATTGGTGTATTCTGATGGTCTCCTAATAGGCCCAGCCTTACCAAGAAACCAAGTTTCTTGATGCCTTCCCTTCACCACCAACCAAAAAAAAAAAAAAAAAGAAAAAAAAAAGAAAAAAAAAAGGGGGTGAAGGGGAGTAGACTCAGCGAGAAATCAAAGAGTACACTCCAACAATATCACAACATGCCGAGGGCTCCCCACGGGAACACCTCCGGCGATTGAAGACTCCTATTTCCCGAAGGATACTACTCAAGGAAATACCATCAGGAAACGGCTAAGTCCACTACCTGGTCACCTCCGGTCACAAAGACACCGAAGGCTCCAACAACACAAAGGGACTGGACTGTCCAAGGTCCACTAAACGGTACTTCAAACAAACACCGAAGGCATCCGTTATGCACAAATACCGAGGGCCCTTTCCCCATGACAAAGATCAATTCTACGACTTTTAAAGTGTATGCCGAGGGCACACACTCCTCATTGGCTTTCTTCACAACAACAGGAGTCAACATCCATGTATGCTTAGAAACATTGATGTCCTGAAGGAGCAGCCCCCGGGCACCCGAAGGCTACACAGGGAAGCAGCACTTGAAAAAAGTTCTAAGTCCTAAAGATTGGGCCCCCGGCCCAATCAATATTACAGCCAAGGGAATATGGTGGCCGAAGGCTATGCAATACAAACAACACTTGCAAACAAAGAAAATTTCTATGTCCTAAAGATGGGCCCCCGGCTCAATTAGTATTGCAGCTAGAGGAATGTGACAGCCGAAGGCCATACATCAAGGAGGGATTCCATTTCCCGAAGGCTCCCAAGGGAGATTTTGCACTTAGAAGATTTTTCTAAGTCCTGCATATTTCCCCCCGGTCAACTACTCATACATCATGAAGGGATGCCATCTCCCGAAGGCTCCCAAGGGAAACTCTACACTTAGAAGATTTTCTAAGTCCTACATATTTCGCCCTCATCTCGAGGGATCTAATTGCTGAAGGCTACCTATCAATCGAGGGCTACGGTTCACAAGGAATCAACACTCAAGGAAATCTTCTAAGTCCTAAAAAAATTAGCCTCCGGCCTATTCAATATTACAGGTGGGGCTCCACAGTAGCCGAAGACTACATGGCATGCTACACTTGCAAAAATCTCTAAGTCCTGTGCATTGGGCCCTCGGTCCAACATTCACACATAAGGAATGGGCGCCATATCCCGAAGGCTCTCAAGGGGGAATCTACACTTAGAGATTTTTCTAAGTCCTAGGAGGTGGGTTACTACAAACGCCCGAAGGCCTCATGCTGTGCTACACTTAGAAAAAAAAAATTCTAAGTCCTAATTGCTGCCGAACCATCGGTTGCATATCCAGCAGAGGGTGCCCAACTACCGAAGGTTCCCAAGGGCTAGCTACAATCAGATAGTATTCTAAATCCTAAGACATACATTCAAAGGAACAAACACATACATTCAAAAATACCGAAGGCATACATCCAAGAATAAAGGAATCGAAGGGAACAAGTCATATATACAAAGCCCGAAGGCGATCATTCAATTATAAAAAAGGAAGCAAGTGTAATTGCGATGTTACTATTACAAGCAGGCCAAAGCCGAGGGATAAATAATGTCATCATTACAAATGTATGTTTACGTGATAAAAAGTACATATCAAATCATGTTACTCCCGGGGGCCGCCTCCCCCGATGGCTTCGAGGTCACTTCTGCGTCGGCCTCAGGTTCGTCGCCCTCGGCTTCCTTCATGAGCTCAGAGTCCTCTAGGTCTGGCCTCTCGACATCGGGGGGAAGAGGAACGCGGATGTCTGGCTGCAGGGGGGGAGCCCGTATGCTGCCGGGTCAAAGTCCTTTGGCTCGATTTTCAAGTGGCGAGCCATCCTCCGATAGATGAGGGCTTGAGTGAAAAACTCGCCCCCATCGTAGTATTGTTTACCCTTTCGGGAAACCCACTCCACGCCAGGCCCATCGCACCACTCGTCGACCGAGGACTCGACGACCGAGGACAGCCATTGCTTGTGCTCCTCGGACCGCCATCCCCCTGCCAAGAACACCGAGATTGCGTCCTCCCGGGCTCTCTCGACGGCTTCGACCTTCGCGGCCTCGGCTTCCTTGGCAGCCTTCTCCAAGGCCTCAGCTGCGGACCTCTCGGCTTCTGCCCTACCCCGATCCGCGGCCTCCGCTCGCAGGGTCATCTGCCGAAGGCTCTCCTCCAGCATGGCCATCTGCCGCACAGCGTCTGCATTCTGGCGGATGAGCTCCCGCATCTTGGCCTCCTGCTCGGCCTTGCGAAGGCGCCACTCCTCTAGCCGCCGGGCTTGCTCCCCGAGGGCAATGCAGGTCTACAAAAACAAAGGGGTTAGCAAGGCCAAATATGGTTTCTAAGCTCCAAGTAAAACGGAAAGAAATAGGCGTGAAAGACTTACTGTAAGGGAGGACCGGAGGATCCTGTCCTCGAGGGCTTCGTCTTCATCAGCCCCGAGGGCAACCCTGTCAATCTCGAGGGTGATGCCTCGCAGAAGCGCCCTCGGGTCGGCGGTACCATTCATCACGGCCGTACCAGCCGGGAGAGAAACCATGAGGACCTCGGAAGATGGCCCCTGAACTCCCGACGGCACCTTCGCCACCTGCATGTCCTCATCTGGCCCGGGGGCAGGGCCTTCATCAACAATGATCACCGGGGGGGATTTCTTCCCGGCATCCCCGGTCTTGGGCTTCTTGCCCTCGGGATCTCTGCCCGAGCCCTTCCTTTTGGCGGCAGCAGCAGCATCAGCGCTTGGGCCCGCCGACGGCCCCTCCGGTTTTTTGAAGAAGTCACCGGCGGGTTTTGGGACACCGGCGTCCGTCCCCCTCGGTCCCTTGGAGGGTTTCTTCTTCTTCAAGTCTGCGAGGCCTCTAACATTCATCATTTTCACTGGGACACCTGCGAAGAAACAAAGGAATAGGGTTAGAATCGAGGGGACGCTGACCGAAGACACAAAGAACAAAAAAAAAAAAAAAACGAACAGGATAAGCTATGTGCTAAGGGACCTCGTAGACTACCTCCTATTCCCCCGAAGGCCTCAGCAAAAACGGGGTACTTCTCATCCGCTTCACCAATAAACCGGTATCTGCGAAAGCCGAGGGCGTAGAATCCCTTGTCGGCAGTATAGTCTTTAATGGAGACCTGCTTGGTGCGACCCTCCGGGATTTTTGCTATCACCAGGCCGTCTTTTTCGAGGGCGGCGCTTCCAACCTTCGGATGTCGACGGAAGCGATCCCGAAGTTCCGCCGGGAATGGGTTCTCAGCAACCCTGACATAGCACCAGCGCTCCTTCCAGCCCTTGTTTGACGAAGGCGCCTCCGTAAACAGCTTCCACCTGGCCACCTGCTGCAGGTTGGCGAAGCCCTCCGCATTCGCGTGACCCCCTCGACAGAGGTTGAAGCTCTGGAAGAACAAGTCCAGGCTGGGGGTCACCCCTCGGTCCCTACAGAGGTTTAGGAAACCCGCCACGTAGGAATGGCTATTAGGTGTCAGCTGGCAGGGCTCCAAGCCGACGAACCTCAGGTACTCCCGGAGGAAGGGGTGCAACGGGAACCGAAGGCCCATGGATACCGACAGCACGTGTACTGCAATGCACCCTTCGGGCGCCCGAGAGAGCACATCGTCAACTCCCAGCTCGACCACCTCGGCCGAGGGCCCTACATGTAGCTGCGTCACGTAGAGGTCCGCCCTGTCCGCCTTCGACTTTATTTCCAGGGCAGCCGTGTTGAGCCAGGAATACCCCTCCGGCATATCTACGGGTTTCCCCTGATCAGCAGCTATGACCTTCTTCTTAGGGACAGCCGCCTTGGCCTTCTTCTTCCCGGGGGCCACCCGGATGGGAACCGCGTTCAGCGGCTGGGAAGTACTGGCCTCACCAGCACCCCGAGGGGGAAGGACGGCCACAGTGACCTTCGCCCTCTCCTTCTCCTCCTCCTCTTCAGCAACTTGGACGGCGAGGGCCAACTCTTCATCCTCGGCAGTTCGCTCGAATTCCTCCGCCTCGGCCTCAGCCGTCAGATCTTTCTGCACCTCAGTGGCGAGGGCTGCATCACCACAATCCGAGGGCTGATCACTGCTTGACTCCACATCGGAGATGCCTTCGTCCTCCATCGAGGGCGTCCTCGAGATGTCCTGAGAGTCACTCTGGGACGACATTCGCTTTCTTGTTCGAGGGCTCGTAGACGGTAGTGTTTCCTAACTTTTCTATCTCCTAAACTAAGGGCACAGTACAGCTATGCTAGAAGGAGAAAGGCAGGGAGCACTGACCTCGAAAGCTGAGTTTTGGACCGAAGGCTGAACTTTCTCTCTCTAGAAAAATTGACAGAGCTTCGCTAACAAGTTTATCGCACACGGAGGAATGCCTGGCCTTGGGGTATTTATAGGCGCTGGGATCCGGGCTTGGGCCTGGGTTCCGGGCCTCCGGATGGACGCCATAATTACGCGCCGTCGTTTCACCCAACCGGTGACGCCGCCCACGAACAACCAGCCATCACACGCCACGCGTGCCATCCCCCCAACGGCTATGTCCTGTCGTTACGTATTCCAACGGCTATGTTTCCAACGGCTATATTCTGGAAGCCCCCGGGTTTTCTACTTCACTCCACTTCATCAAAAATAGCCTCCGGGTACAATCACTCAGAAGTGCCCCCGGGTTGCGCCCCACACAGCACATAACAGACGCCTTCGGGATCACTTCTTCAAAAACCCAGGGCTTCATGTCAGGACACCCCCTCGGGGATTCCCCCTCAGCACTGCAAAACTGGGTAGCCCCTGGGGAGTTTCCTCATTGACGGATGGGGAGCCCTCGGGTATCTTCATCACCAACAAATCAACAAACAGTGGACCCCCCCGGTAAACACTTCACTGCTGCCCTCATCTGGCAGGCCCTCGATCTCTGGATTGAGGGGCTCCCCTTCGGCGCCACCAGGACATCAACAGCGAGCCTTCGGCTAATCAACACAGGAGCCCTCAGAAGAGAGAGCCCTCGGCATTCCCGCCATTCTCCATTTTGTACCAAGGTTTGACATTTTCGATTCATCATTGGGGGAATTCGGTGCACTCTTTTTCCCTCATTAGGATTTTTTCCCAAAGGGTTTTTCCTAATGAGGTTTTTAACGAGGCATCCCCCCAAAATGAAACGAAAAGCGTCAGCCTTCGGCCCACAACAGCAACGTAACTACTTTACTCCTTTTCACCACTTTACAAGTGCCTCAAGGAGTGGGGGACTGGAGGACCCCCTCGGGAAAATCATTAAATTACAAAATCTGTGAAAATCCAACAAACAATAAAGCAAGCCCTCAAGTCCCGACATGTGGGTAACTGAGGGACTACCTTCGGCAGGGACATAAGAGCAACAACTCCTCACCAACTTCAGAGATCACGACAGGACAACATCAAAGGGCAAGCACAAATTACTCCTTTTCCCTCAAGTACCTTTCGGCAAAAGGAGTGAGGGACTCCTGATGGAGTATATGGCCCGGGAACCCCCGGCCCACAGACTCCTACTACTCCAGCAAAGGCCCAACAGGCCCAACAGGCCCAAATCACAGCGCCCAGAGTACCAAGCAGTCCGCACAACGCACAGGGGTGCCTTCGGCCCCCTGGCCGAAGGCTCCAAATTATCACAGAGCGGGTTTCTCAAGCAAACTAAGAAACTGGGAGAAAACGGTGAAAACAGCAGCCCTCGGCACTGTAAGCCCTCGGCACCAGGGGTGCCATCGGGAGGGAGAGCCCTCGGCTACTGCTCTATAGCCGAAGGCATCTCACTCGACAAGATATCCGCTTCACATGCGTACAGATCACCGTACTCTGCACAGACGTCCCATCCAACAGCCGCATTAAATGCGGCCACATGCGGCTGCCAGCGCCAACCAGTTGAGGTGACCCCTCAGCCAATGAGCGCTTGACACGTGTCCCTACCCGGCATTTATTGCTACTATAAATAGCACCCCATTTCCCCATTTGTAACCACGCTGAAAAGCCATAACACGCAAAATACATATTGAATATACACTCTCTCTCGTACTTGTTCGCTCTGACTTCTCTCTAAGTTATTCCCCGTAATAACCCTTCGGATATATACCCCCGGGTAGACTATCCATCATTATCTTTTGCTCAAATTGGATTAATGGAGGAAAACATATATGATCGTATGTTATGCTTTTTTAGTTCATAAAATTTAGGTTTGCGGCACAAAAAAGTACTCAAGTGGGAATGATGCGTCAAAATGAAAGTGGTAATCTGTTATTTATCAAACATCATTGGAACTTCTCAAAGTAGCAGCTCAAACACGGGTAATTTATACTCCCTCCATCCCGGTCATTTCTTCCGGTTTTGATCGGTATAGCAAATTTAGGTAGTGAGAATAAAGTGAAAATGTATAGTTGTAGTTGTGTAAGAAAAGAGTGAATGAATGTGAATCACATATTTCTTCCAAAAGTGAAAGTTGGAAGAATTAATTGAGACGATCAAAACGGAAAACTGGAAGAAATGACCGGGACCGAGGTAGTACTATACAGCCAGCTTTACCAAGGGCATGGTACAGCTGGCATTTTTGTAATTAGTTAGAAGTTTTAGGATTATAATCACGGTAAAGTTACTGTAGCTCTTTTATTTTTCCCGCCGCATGTCCGCATGCATTCCTAGACTCCCCGGTGTTTGGTTTGTTCTCCTTTCTTTATTGTCTTTGTTTTTTCAATTTTTCTGTTAGTTCTGCTTTCTTTTTATGTTTTTCTTTTTGTTTGTTCTCCCCTCTTTCTTTGTTTCTCTCTTTAGAAACCCTTTGCTTTAATTAAATATTCAATTATTATGAAAATGTAATGTTGTATTTTCTATTTTTAATTTAGGATGATCATTTATCATGTTATTAAATATTGTGTGTTAATTACTAACATGAGTTTTGTGTTATAGTAAAATGAGTATAATGTAAAATAAATATCCATGAGTAAAAATTATAAAAGGAATCCAATTATATTTTTAATTTGAGAACTAAAGATCGATTACAAATTATTTTTAATATAAAATTACTACATTATATTTGTCATCACTATATTTGTCATTATAACAAATGAACATTTGAACACATTAGAGAATTCAAATGAGTTTTTGAATTTTCTGATGCTCATTCTGTAAGCTATGTATGTTCATTTGATATTGGTTTATGCTCATTTTATAATGTCATATTAATGCATATTTCAAAAGTAACATATTAGATTCACATAAAAGTTACATTATATACACATGAGCACATACAGATCATGATACTTAATTGCATTTTTCTGATACTCAAAAGAGGATGTTTGATGTTCAACTAAATTGTCTTTATACTCAAATAAAAAGCTTATGATTTTCATACTATTGCTCATTTGGTAAGTTATTTATTCTCATTTGATACTGGTGTTATGCTCGATCATTTTAAAATGTTATATCAATGCATATTTCAAAAGTATCATATTACATTAGACTCACGTAAGAGTTGATTATAGATACGTGAGCACGACCATGATACTCAATTTCATGTTTGTAATATTCAATAGAGGATGTTTGATAGTCAATGCAAATGTCTTGATGCTCAACTAAAAAACTTATGATTTTCATGTCAATGCTCATTTTATAAGCTAAGTATGTGACGAGCACTTTGTCACGGTGCGTCAAAATAATTTCAATACTAAACACTTATACGTAGTATAGCGTAGTAGAGTTCGTATCCACAGGGAAAGGAATGATTTTCTTTCTATGAAACTAGTAATTAAAAGGGGTTTTTTGATTTTGAGTGATTTAATTCAATTAAGAACTAAGATGAACAACCTATATGTGTTTAATTCAAAGATAAAAAGGACTTGGCATTGCTACTTTCCACTTGTTGATATATTTTAGTCGATCATTGTTATATCTATAACTTATTCCCTCTCGAATACTCAATCGGGGAGTATATCCACTTCATCGAGGGTAGTTATTAACAACGACCGTTCATTAATAACCCTTACTATTAATCAAATATAGAACAACGCCTTATACCGATTTAATAGTAGCATTTAATCTTTCTAACTCCTTGATGAAATCAATTGAGATTGATAACCTCGACACAAGCGGTTTCGGTTTAACCAACAAAATTAATCCCTCTTAAGTTTATTAACCACGACCGTGCATTAATAAACCGAAGTTACTTACTTGTGAAACCATCAACGATTAACCATCGGTTCGCTGATCGTTTCTAGTAATAATTAATATATGAAACAAAACTAGTTGATCCTTTAAGTAATGTTCAAAATATTAATATGAAATAAGAGTAGGGATTAATTAATATTCAAGGAAGAATATTATTAAAGAAGATGAATCCTACTATAATTAATATCAAGATGTTAACTAATTGTCATCTTAGCAACACTCCTCAACATTAATATAGAGGAAGAAAATACCATTCTAACTAATGTTGAGATGTTAACTAATTGTCATCTTAGCAACACTCCCCAACATTAATATAGAGATGGTATTAAGGAAAGAACTATTAATTAATATTCAAGGCAAGAAGTTAAGAAAATAACTCACAACTTTAATAATCAACAAGCTTCAAGAGCAACACCAAGAATGGAAGTTTAGCTCCTCATTTGGAGACTAAACATAGCTAGAAAATATAAAGAAATGCTATTCTAAACTGAGCTAAAGAGAATGGAAGAAGGGATGATTTTTGTGAAGAAAAAGTGTGCTATTTATAGGTGTTTTTCAACACTTTTGGCCGGGTACCCGACCGGGTCAAGTACTCACCCGACCGGGTCCGGTCAAAATCAGATATTTCCCCACGTTCTGGCGATCTTCGGCATGTTAAAGTGTCCGGGTCAAGTCGGACCCGACCGGGTGGGGTAGGGGACCCGATCGGGTGAGTGCAAAAATTGGATATTCTTCACGTTCGGGTGATCTTTGTACGCCGGGTTGTCCCCGGTCACTTCTCACCCGACCGGGTGAGGTAGTGGGCCCGACCGGGCCATGCACTTTCTTTGCATTTTCGTTTTTCACTTCTTACCCGACCGGGTCAAGTGTTATACCCGGTCGGGTATTTGCTCTTGGGCAGTCAAATCTTCTTTTTCTTCACTTCAAAGTCTTCCTTTCCAACACCACAAATCCTAACTAAACTTTACAACTTACAAATAAAGACTAAAATACAATTACAACTGAAATCACATAAATGTTTACAAACTAAATAAAACGTCAAACAATTAACATAAATCAAACATAAAAACATGTAATTATGCACTACTAATTAGTGTGCATCAGTATGCTCAATGGTACTCATGTTATGATCATTTTTAAATTTTCATATGAATGCATATTTGAGAAGTACCATATTACACTAGATTCGCATATTGAAGTTCATAAGAGTTGATTATAGATATAATTTAAAATTTTTTTATAAAAGAAAAAAAAGAAAGTGAATTAGTAGATATGAAGCAGAGATCACGATGTTCATTGTTAGCTTCTAATGCTCAACAGAATATGTCTAATGCTTACTAAAAAAAGTGTTAATGCTCCATTAGCAAAAGACGTGAATTTCATTTAACTTACCAAAATGCCACCGGCTGTACGGTGGCAATCTGTTATTTATTAAACATCATCGCAACTTGTCAAAGTGGCGGCTCAAACACCTAAGATTGTAGCCCAACTTCTCTTCGGATTTTCATTGAACAGTGTCCAATCAACTTAAAGGGACTCGGGGGGTGTTTGCAGGGGCGGAGCCAGAACACTGGGTCGAACTGGGTCGATACAAAGAAAATTTTCGGAAATTTTTTTCCCGAAATTTTTTACACTAAAAATTAAGACATTTTTTAAATTTGGGCTGGGCTAGGACCAATGTTGGCCCTCCTCTTTCTCCGCCCCTGGGTGTTTGGAATTGATTCTGCTTTTGCTTCTCTTTTAAAGCAAAAGCAAAATCAGAGTCAATTTTCAGAAGTTGGTCTCCCCCAGCTTCTAAAAAACTGCTTTCAGGAGTAAATTAGAGTACCACAAGTATTTCTACACTTTCACTCATACACTCCAATTTCTGCTTCTGCTCTCCGAAGGAGCAGAAGCAGTTTTAAGACCAAACACCCCCTCAATATAAAAAAGATGAGTTTTTTATGTACACAAAATGTGTACACATATTATATAGTCTGTGTACACAGACATTTTGCATAAAATCTTGTCATACACAGGCAACTAATGAGGTTGTGTTCAAATTGGATACTAATTTTGTGCACAAAATAATGGTTGCCCCCCTTCTAACTCCGTCCTTATTTGCCAACAAGACTACGTACTGTCAAAATAATTGAGTGAATTTAAAAAAAAATCAGCCCATTTTGAGCTTATGTGGCTTGACGAATATAGCCTGGATCAGACCCATTCAAATAAGAACGAATCTCGAAAAAATGTAAAATAAAAATAAAACAGACATCTATCGGTCTAGAATAAACCCGTTCAGACCATACTTAAACATACTAAACCAAATCAGACTAGACCAGTCTATAAAATTGCAGTCCAACAAAAACGAAATTATAGTAGCTATTGCTTTGTTAATCATATTTTTGTAAATAAGTTTTCTTTCATTAATATTTTTGATAAAACCTCATAAAAACATTGTGGAGGATTACTTGGCAGCCCATGAGTTAGCTTTAATTACTTTTGCATTAATTATCATTAATCTTTCCATCATTTGCAATGGAGTCAAAGACTCGCTATTTTTTGGCTTGAAATATCATGGAATAAAACAAAATGACTCATTAAACCGTGTGTGCTTCTTTATTTATTACTTTGTATGTAGCAAAGGTCGATTCATACAATTTTTGATAATGATGATGATGAAGTTATCATTAATCATTTTTATGAACTTTGTTTTGTTCAAGTAGGGTGCAATATTGAATCATGTATTACTATTTCACCCGTATATATAGCCATATAGGTACTAATTTCTGTTAATTCTTAGTAGTGTTGAAATTTTGCTTTTGGGTGTGCGTAAAAGCAGAATTCTTTTGGTATCATTAAACTCTCTAATTTAATACTCCCTCCTTTTCTAAACAAGTCCCACATTTCCTTTTCGGATAGATTCAAAATTAAGTTCCACTTTCAAACATTTCTTTATTTGGCAAATTATCTACGTTACAACAATGTCAAACAGTGTCAAACAGTGTTCAAACAGTGCCAAACAGTGCACTACACAGTAAAGTCAAATTTATTTTCTTAATATGTGTGAAGTCAAATATGGAACTTGTTTCAGAAAAAGATGGAGTAATATTTGGTATTCCATGAAAGTGAGGAAGAAACTAGCTGGTATTATTGCGTATTCGCATCGTGATTCGTGAGTTGTTCGATCATTCGTAAGCAATTAATGTGCCTTTCAATTTTTTATTACAATATGACTTTTTTCCTCTGTATATACTCCGTATGTGATAGATATAGACATTGATTCATACTAGCATCCTGACTTTTTATATTCACCGTGGTTAACACATACGACTAGAGCATTTTATCTAGAGAAATTTTCCTATTTTCATGTTAGCACCAAACCATGATTTTTATGTGGTGGTTATTAATTACATACAGAGTAGGTGAAAAGATAAATTTGGAAAAGTGTAGACCATGCAATTAGCATTTGAGAAGTAAAAATGATTGGGCAAGAAAATCCTCTAAAAGTGAGGTCTTCCATCAAAATTGCAAGCAAAAGAGCAAAACTTGGATTCACATGCAGATTTGCTGCTTCTCTTTCGGTTCCACATTAATCCAAATGACTGCAAAACAGGAAAAGAAAGGGAGAAATTTTGACACAAGTGCCCAATTAAGGGGAGAGGAAAAGCTATCATTTTCTCCTTTCTTTACTTCTCCTCTCCCCTTCCATCCCCCCTCTCTCTCAGCCTAGCTGAGGAAAAAAACAAACAAAAACTAAAGAAGAAGTCCTTCGTTTTTGTCAAGGAAGGGATAGATAGAGATCAGAGATAATTAGTTAAAAATGGGGGATTCATCGGAGGATTTCGCATGCGGGAAAGAGTTGTTCAATCCGGTGCTAACCATGGGCATGCAGTATTCATGCATTCTTGTCATTTCTCACTTTCTTCAGATTCTTCTCAAGCCCCTTGGCCAGGCTGCCCCCATTGTTCAAATTCTCGTAAGTACGTCTGTTAACCAAATCTACCATTATATTTATTCAACATATAGATGAATTGCAGCCTTTTTAGAGTTTCTGTTAATGTCAAAAGCTAGTTAATGAGAACAAGACAATATTTTCCTCTGTAAAAATACTTATGTATGTTATGTGTTTTCTTTTCTTGGTTAAATATGCAGGCTGGATTTTTATTAGGCCCCTCTGGTCTGTCTCACATCCCCGCAGTCAACAGTTTCTTCCTCCAGAACTTTGCTGCCGACTACTATGAATTCATGGCGGTCCTGTTTAGAATCATCATCATGTTTCTCATCGGTCTAGAGATGGACTTTCCTTACTTCATCCGCAAGTTACGCATAGCCAGCATCGTAGCATGTGGATCATGCTTAATGTGCACTTTCTTTGCTGCCGCCATTACATCATTTGTATACCAAGAGACATCATCCCACGGTTCTGGATTCATGATGGGGTTATTGATCACTATACTCCTAGCCAGCACTGCCTCCCCCGTTGTAGTTCGTTTGGCGGTTGATCTGAAATTCGCAACTTCGGATATCGGACGTCTTGCCATTTCTTCCTCACTGCTCAATGACGCATATGGGGTGGTATTGTTGTTTGTGATTTCAAAGACGAGACAGCATTATTCATACACTGCTTGGGTTTTCCTTGGTCTCCTCTACCTTTTCGTGGTGGGCGTTGTTGTGGTGGTCAACATGTATGTGGCAAACTGGATGAACCGGCGGAATAGGAACCAGAAGTACCTTAAGAACGCTGAGTTGTTTGGTCTTTTGGCTATTTTATACATTGTTGCCATGTCTCTAGAACTCATGGGGTTTAGTAGTTTGATATTTTCGTTCCTTATCGGATCAATGTTTCCTCGAGGAGGAAGGGCAGCTAGGACGTTGCTGACCAAACTTACATACCCGGTTCACAACTTCATACTACCAATTTATTTTGGGTATTTTGGGTTTAAGGCAAATGTGGCTTTCATTAACAGCCTTCGCAACTTTTGTATCGTGTTTTTCATAATGCTTTTGAGTTTTGGAGGTAAAATTGTTGGCACTTTGGCTGCTTGCTATCACCTAAAGATTCCCTACTATGAAGGAGTGCTCATGGCTTTCCTAATGAACCTAAAGGGACATGTTGATTTGCTAGCTTTGACGATTGGGTCAACGAATAGAGTAAGTGTACTCCCCCCTCCAACCCAACCCAACCCAACCCAACCCAAATATTTGCATTGAAATAAGCCTATTTTTTCATATGTTTATTTATGTTTCAGTGGCCGGCCATAGTATACATTTATGATAGGGAAATCGTATATTTAATACGTATATTTGACATACCTCTGTGACATGTAGTTCAAGAATGATTGAGATCAAAAGTGGACATACCTGTGTTCTATATGATTGAATGGCTAAATTTACCATTTTTAACATTAATAAGCAGGGGAAACAGTAGTATTTTCTTTTTGCAATATTACACCCTTGATTTTGGGACATTAAACTTATTATCTGGATGAGTAAAGGTGAATTGATGGTACATGCAGATTATATTGAGTGACACATTCTTCAGCTTGATGATATCAGCGGTAGTGTTAAATTCATTGATATGGGGGCCCATCATAGCTTTGATGGTGAGAAGGGAACACGACATCATAGGCTACAGACAAATATACTTCGAAACGCAAAGCCCAGAATGTGAGCTTCGGACCCTCGCATGTGTACACGGTCCTCGACCTGTGGCCACCATGGTAGGACTCATAGCAGCATCAAGAGGTCCTGAAAACATTCCCCTCACCCCTTACTTAATGCACTTGGTTGAGCTCCCAGGGAAAAGCAATACCAACTTGATGTACAACCAAAAAGAAGAAGATGAGGTCAGTGATGATGACGATTATGGTGGGAACGATGTTGTGGAGATAAACGACGCTGTGGATCTATTCACGGCTGAGACAGGGTTGATGGTTCATCAGATCAAAGCTGTGGCACCCTTTGCTAGTATGTATAAAGATGTGTGCGACTATGCTGAGGATATAAGAGCTTCCATTGTTTTCCTTCCATTCCACAAGCACCAAAGAATAGATGGGAAACTGGAGACTAGTAAAGAAGGCATAAGGACGACGAACCAGAAAGTGCTTCGTCACGCACCGTGTGCCGTTGCCATTCTGGTGGACCGCGGTCTCACAGCAGGCTCGTTGAACCTCACGGGCTCTGATTCTTTGCAACACATCGCGGCTCTGTTTTTCGGTGGGCCCGATGATCGTGAGGCGTTGGGGTTCAGCAAACGCCTAGGAATGCATAATCACATCAACCTCACTGTTATAAGGTTCCTTTCAGCATCTGGACAGGGACAAAGCGTGGGTGTTGATATTGCTCATAAAGAGGAAAACATTTTAATGGCAATTTCTGATCGTGAAACAGAAAGAGAGGCAGATAATGAAGTATTGTCTGAATTCTACCATAGGTATGCAAAGGGAAACTTCTTTTTAAATTTTTTAATTTTAATGTCCAACCAACCTAACATCGAATCGTAGCTAAAGCCTGAGCGCACCAACACCTTATGGTTTAATCGAGAATCTATGTTGCCTTCAAAAGAGGAGGTCATAGGTTTGAGTGTGTCCTAATCACGGTTGAGGGTATTAGTGAACAAATACTATGAATAGGGTGGAGTGATTGTAAAAGACAAACAAAACAAAACAAAACAAAACAAAACAAAAACTTAAAACCTTGGCATGATGTTGGTAAATCTCTCTTGTAGGGTGGGTGATATGTGGAAGGGTAAATTTTCTTATGTTGACACTCCAAAAGCGTTGCTGGCTCACTTCAATACTGTGGAGTTCTATATATTGTAATTAAAATGACATGATTTGTTGATCTGATGTGATATTTAGGTATGTGACTTCGGGTCAAGTGGGATATGTAGAAAAGGTAGTAGAGAACGGATCAGAAACGGCGTGTGCATTGAGGGACATGGCAGATATGTATTCTTTATTCATAGTAGGGAGGGAAGGGAGAGGGCACTCACCTCTGACAACAGGAATCAGTGATTGGGAAGAATGTCCAGAGCTTGGAAAAGTAGGAGACTTTTTGGCGTCTGCAGAATTTGATTTTTGTGGTTCAGTTCTGGTCATGCAGCAGCATAGACCTTCAAAACACGAAGATGATGATGACTAGCCACGCTGAACATGTCCCTTTTTCTACAATTAAAGATAGAAAGAGATGATATGTTGTATAATGTTAGTGGGTGGGTGTGATTATTGACTGACAGGGTATCTGATACACTGCACATGGTGTATATAGCGAAAATGTTTTGCACTTCAAAACTCCATCTTATTAGGCAGTGCCCAGAGAATTGAATTCAGGGGCCTTTTGTATAGATAGAGACTAGTTTTTTAGTAGATGTTGAATCTATTCAATTGCACAATAGTGATTTTGTGTACTTCCATATCTGTGTTTGCTCGCATTTTTATGGACATGTGACTGCATAAGAGACAGTTATATGTAGCAATTTTTATGCATACACTAACCATTGGGAATGTCTAAAGGAACTATTCGAGCATACATTGCCAAAACAAAAATAACTATTCAACCCTTGCACTGTTTTTAGAAGGGACTGCACAAAATGGGGGATTACTTGAGCTGAAATTTCATTTCGAACCCCCACCCCCTGAAAAACAGAACCCAACCAGAGCTCTCATAGTACTATCAGGTTACACAACATACTAAGCAAGAGAAAATGGTTAGCATTGTGGTTCAAACTCCCGTAAAAAATCCAAGTTCCATTGACGAGAGATGAACAAAGCTCCCTGCTATATCTTCGTGAAGTGATCTTTCAGAAGTTTGGAGACTGAAAATCCGATGAATGTGTCGACTTTGAAGAGCTCCTTTAGTTTATCATCACATACTATTTTTCTCTTATCAGATGGATCCTTCAATGAAAAAACAAGGGCATAGAGAAAACACAGTTAAATTCAGATAGTCAGAAGAAAGCTCCCGATTGTTTTTAAAGTAGCTCAAAAATGCACAAATATATAGTACCTGCAAATTGTTTTCCTTGATGTAATCCCATATTCTCTTGACAACACTAGGCCTTGACAATTCACTTTCACCAGTGCCAAGAAACTCCATCAGAGCATCGGAGAGGCGAAGTGGAGCAAGAATCCCACTCTTCCTCTTTTCCCCACCCTTTGGCTCATCAGAATCTGTAGTGAGATATTGCATTCATTAACAGCTTAGACAAATACTTACTGAGCTTTGAACCTTATGGTAAAAGACAATGCTATTTTCATCAAGGGGCAACAGCATTAACACCAAACTTTGGATGGATATTCATTATTACTGTTTGGAGCATTGAAGTGAACATATCAATCTTTAAAGAAAAATGTTGCAAAATTCACCTTCATCACTCTTTGGCTTAAGTTTCTTTTGTTTTGGTCTTGAACTAGCTGACACGGAAGCTGCAGTTTTCAAATTAGACACTGATCAAATGCTGCCCACTTTAATGTATTGGAAGAATATTACAGCAATTGCATAACCAAAAATGTCATTGACCACAAAACAATAATTCAATACAGTTCTAATTATTTCCTAAAATATGTAGACTTTATAGCACACATTAAAAAATAGTGAGAAACTGCACTAAATAAGAGTAAGGCAACGACCTAGGTGAAACTCTTAGGTAGAACTAGTTATCTGATACTACTTCTTATCAAAATAAGACTATTTTTCTCATAAAAAACTCCTGTTCAGGAATATAGAGTAATAAATGTTTTACTCCTGTTTAAGTAAATTGCCAAAAACTATTGCACTACAAAGCTTAAGACTTTCAATGAACGCATACAAGTACATCTTCCATTTTTCTCTGACATCTATTACTACAAAAATAAAGTCTGACCTTGTGGAGTGATATGATATTACGTGTGACACTAAAGAGAATCAAGAGGCAAGAGCATTAACACATAACTCCAGAGATAAAATGATAGTTAATGTTTAAAGCAATGACGTCGACAGATCAGTGATTATAAACAAAACTATGTTGTAAATTCACCTTCATCACGCTCCGGCTTAGGTTTCTTTTTCTTTGGTGCTGAGCCAGCAGACACTGAAGCTGTAACTTTCAAAGAAATCGGTCAATGATCAAGAGGCGAGAGCATTAACACTAACTCCAGAGATAAAATGATTGTATTGTTTAAAGCAATGACGTCAACAGATCAGTGATTATAAACAAATTAATGTCGTAAATTCACCTTCGTCAGTCTCCGGCTTAGGTTTCTTTTTCTTTTGTGTTGCGCTAGCAGACACTGAAGCTGTTACTTACGAAGAAATCGGTCAATGATCACATGTTTCCCCACTTTAATGTATACAAAAGTATAATAGAGCAAAATCATAACCAAAAACCTCTTTAACATCAAAAGGATAATTCAAACACATTTCAAAATATTTTCTAAAATTTATAAACATGGAAACACATACTGCTTCCTCCCCAAATGAAAAAAAAATAGTTAGAAACTGTACTAGAAAATAGTACAACATACGGAGTAGTTCACATTCTTGTTTTTTTGTTCTAAAAAACAGGAGTAATTACCTTATAATAAGTCCTGTATAGGAATATGATATTCTTTTGTCCTGTGTAAGCATTTTTTTTTCAAAAAACGTAGTACTTTTAATGAGCATATGTAAGTACATTTGTCATTCTTTAATTTCTTTTCTCATCATGCATAACTACAAGAATGCAAGATATTTTCATCTTGAAAGTAGCTCAAGTTGCAAACTTTAAAATAGTACACCAAGAAACCACATACTAAATTGACACGACAAATTAGCTAAAAGGCAGAAACAAAATGCTCAAATGAAGAATGCAATTGAAAAATGTAATACCCCCATCAGAGTCCAGTGGCCAAATATGCTTTGACAGTGCCTTGTTCATTTGAAACATGTCTATGGAATCCACCTTAAACAGTTCGCGCAATTTATCGTCACAATTTATTATCTTCTTATTAGAAGGGTTTTGCAAATTATTTTCTCGAATGTGGTTCCACATATGCTTTACCACCTGAAAATATGGTTACAAGATCTAGTGTTATAAACACGAAATACAGCTTCAATGGAATCCAGTAATGGGATACGCTGAAACTTGAAACACCTGAGTTCTTGCCATTTGTGATTCCCCAATGAACTTTTGAAGTTGGGAAGAAAGGTTGCATGGTTTGGTAAATCCATTCCCTCTCTTATTGACTTCCTTACTCTGCTTCCTGGACTTAATAAGTTAAGAAAGCATCATTGTATTCAATTAGTTCACAGAGATGCTTCCTTTCATTACTGTGTCATATAAACACTTTAATAGCCTCTGCTAGGACAATGGTAAACCAGTGGGTGTTTTTGCTATGAATAGGAGCAATTAATATAACCCAAAAACCTAATAAATATATGCAAAAAAACTAAAGCGGAAATCAATTTGAATAATCAATAGCATGGGGATGTGTGTTTAAACAAAGTGGATTAGTATATAGACCTCTTCCTGTTACTGGGTTTTTTCACCTCCTCATCTCCCTCGCCCTCCTCCACTTCTTCCGATTCCTCCTCTTCGTCGGCCTCATTTGCAGCGGCAGTCGACGATTCTTTCTCGTCTTCTATCTTCTCAGCAGTCTGTTCTGCCTCTTGTTTTTCCGCATTTTGGGTCTGAGCTTGCTCTAGGTAGATATCGATTTGTTCACGGATAAAGGACTTTCGGTCGGACAAATCGATGCCAAAGTCTTTCTCGAGTTGCCGGCGAACGGAAGCATTTGTCGTCGTGTTAAGGTCTGACGTACTGAGGAATTCCCTGAGCCGCCTAACGAGCTTTTCCTCCGACACCATTTCCGGCGTAGTGCGTCAGGTGACGTTTAGGTGAAGTCAGGTTTGCCCAAAAACGGCAACCAAATGGGGTAGGTGAAATGCCGATATTGGAGCACCGTCCTACGCACTTCTATAGCGTATGAAAGAGGAAAGGCATTTCAATTGTCAGGAAAATGGAGGGCATTTATGGCAATTTAGTTGCTTCGAAAATTGATCCTTTCAAATGACGAACAAGGTACTGATGAAACAAATTTCAAAAATGATGTTTGTACACATTCTTGTACACACTTTTGTACATACCTATGTCTGTGAAAGCTTTTTTTTGTCTGTGAATATTGATTCACAAACAATGTTTTGCACAAACAAAATATTGTCTGTGAACCGGATTCACAGACAAAAAAAAGCTTCACAAACATGATGTGTATAAGGTGTGTACAAGAGTGTGTACATCAAGAATGGTTGAACAAATTTTACGCCATGGATTTACTTAACCAAAACGGTAAATCTTTGCTGCCACATCTCTAACGGTCTAACCAAATTAGGGGCTTTGAATCAACTTCTTGAAACGGTTTCAATTTCCTCATAGCATGTTTTTACCCGATTATAGCAGATTAGACAATATTAGAACATGCTTGGTTGTTGGGAAGCTAGTTGCTCATTAACCTTCACATTATCACTATCAACTAGGGGTGGACATAGTTGGTTAACCGGGTTTTGGTTAACCAACTTTCCGGTTAACCGCGAAACTTGTTACTTCGGTTAACCGATACTTCGGTTAATCAAAGCTTCGGTTAACTGAGTATCGGTTAACCAAAACTTCGGTTAACCACAAACCGGTTAACCGAAACCCATAAAACTGGTACCATAATTGAAAAAATAATTTTTTAAACATCTATGATCATAATACAAAATTCATAAGTAGATCAAATTTTGAAGAAGATAATAGAAATACAAGAATACACCGGTGTTAACAAATACATGACTGCGTAGACTAGAACTGATATACGAAACAAATTTCCAATATACAACTCTAGGTTTAAATCAAGTCTCACACTTTATCTCCAAAGCCAAAAAAAAGGAGCTCAAAGTCTATCATGAAAACTTGATAGTGGCTTTTTGTACATAATCTCTTTGAACCGTTGAAGTAAAATTAGTGATTTCTCTTTAATATTGATTTGCAAGAAAGTATCTTGAACAGTGAATGTGTGTTGTCTCCATTTAAAACTTGATGGGATATAGGTGGAGAAAACAAATTGTCATCGGCGTTCAAAATCTTTGGGCAGTTCCACAGATATAGAACTAGGAAGAAATAAACATTAAAGATCTTAGCGATTACAGGATGAATTGACTTCGGTAAACTGATTCTAATCAATTTTAAAACGGTTAACCCACCGTGAAACATTTTTTTTATTTAATCGGTTAACCTACCGTGCTTTCGTTTTAAAAGCGGTACGGTTAACCAGAAAATTAATGGTTATACGGTTTTTTTAAACGGTTACGCGGTTATGGTTTTTTGTGTCCACCCCTACTATCAACTACCGTAGTATAAATAGTATAAATAACAACTTGTATTCACTGGCAATAACAATTATCCCTTGTACTTTCAGCTCATACTAGACGTTCTGCTCGGATCCAATAGGGTGTGTTGTAATCGTTCTTAAATCATTTAATAAGAACCTAACTAAACCCACTTATTATCGCTCTTTCTAATAATCATTTGCTTGGGTCTTTGAATTGAAGGAATGCACCTGTTTTATCTTTTATTTTGGCATGTTAATTAAGGCTGACAAACATTCAGGGGTGGAGAGAGTATCTATCACTAATAAATTGAAACGAATTTTTAAATCAAATTTTGAGTTTTGAAACGGAGTATTGGTAAAGTGCAAGAAAAGAGTGATAAACAAAAATCTATAAGGCGGCCACCATATGATATCTTTGGTGATTTTTACGCACAATAATGATACCGATTGATAGAAACAAAACTTGGATTGATGAATCTTTAATGAAAAAACTAAAACAAATTGAAATAATGAATGATGCATAAATAATGAAGCCAAACACTCACATTTAAGATGCAAAAAAGCTACGCTCTTACCGTTTCTTCAAGTTTTTTCCCTTAGAGGTACTTTGTAATCTTATTTCTCAAAGTAGGGTGCTTTTAAACTTAATTCTCAAATAGGGGTGTCTTTTGTCATGTCATCATGCATGGAGCAGTCCGTATACCGTGGTACCGGCCCATTATGAGCATCATGCTCCTAGGGATAAAACATGGATGATCAGTACCCGCGGATGAACAATAACTTTTTATTTTGTATTCCAGTAACAGGGTGATGTAACTCCCGTTTAAAAAAATGTAACTCACATTGATGGGAAATGTAACTTGAGTCAACTTTAAATGTAAGTGGTCTAAAACGAAATATAAGAAAAAATTAAATTGATTTCAATGTAAAGAATGAAAATTTGATCCTAAATACTCAATTACTTTTGTAATTAGCGAATATGTTTTATTTTTAATATTAGAGCCATAAAAATGATATAATTAAATAGAATATATATATATATATATATATATATATATATATATATATATATATGTTTTGGTTCAAATAAGAACATGATCTTAGGAGAGAAATGAGAATAAATCTGGATCGTTAGATTTGGTTTAAGTGAAATTCAATGTGCATTAGATGAAATTGTAATGTGCGTTCGGTGAAATTCAAATGTGCAGCACAAGGGTACGATATAGTAGACATTATGTGAAGCTAAATTGTGCATTAGGTGAAATTGAAATGTGCAGAATAAAAGGTTTGATGTGATGTTATTTTTGTACCTTTTATTTCGCACATTTCAATTTCACCTAATGCGCACTTGAGTTTAAATTTTTATTATGCACATTTCAATATCATCTAATACACATATCAGTTTCACCAAATGCACAATTCAGTTCCCCATAATACAATCCAACGGTCCAGATTCGTTCTCATTTCTCTCCTAAGAGTCCATTCTTACCGGAACCGCTCCCTATATATATATATATATATATATATATATATATATATATATATATATATATATATATATTATAAACATTGGGTTCAATGTAAAATTGATACTAATTGACCAATTACTTTTTGTAAATAGTGAATAAGTTTTTTTTAATATTAGGGCTATAAAAATGATATAGTTAAAACAGATTTTTTTCGTAGTGTAACTCACGTACATTAAGATATAACTCATGCATAAGATAGAAGATGTAACTTCATATAATATTAAATGTAAACATTGAAAACAATGAGTTTAATATTTTTCAATTAATTTACGTAAATAGTGAATATGTTTTGTTTTTAATATTAGGGCCATAAAAATGTTTTGAAGAGAGAAAACAATTTCAAAGAAAAATTGCCAAAAAATCTTGTTTTTTACAAAAAAAAAGATTCTTTTTTTGTTTCAATAGCATGAGTTTATTTTGTGATGTAACTCGTGTTATAAAAAATATAACGGCATTCACTACAAAAAAATGGTGCAATACCGACCGACTTTCCAACGAAATTTAAAGAAATAGTCGTCGGAAATGGTATTTCCAATGAAATACCGACAAAACTTGGCCGTTGGAATACGCTGGTTGGAAATTTTTCCAACGGCCATTTCCAACCGATTTTTTTTTGCGCCAGAGTTCCAACAAATATATCTGTCGGAAATTTCCAACAAACAATTCCGTTGGACATAAGCAACCAGATTTCTCAAGACCATATTAATGACCGACGAGTTTCCAACGGATTAATCGGTCGGAAACTAAACGAGCCATTTAAAAAATTGATTTCTCAAATTCGTGTTTCTAGTTCAATGCAACTTTTCTATACCATTCAAAAAATTCACCATCAATAAATTGTACTAGTACATTATACCATCCAACTTGAAAATTTCAAAACATACCATAAACAATAGCACTATTCGCTATTGTCAATAAACATAAAGTGAATGTAGTACAAAAGTTTGGCAAATTAAAGACTTAAAGTAGATTGTTCATTACACCACAAATAAATAAAAACTTAAACTCGAAATTATTCTTCATTGTCCACCTTCATTTCCGATCCTCTCGTTCGTTCCCGTTTCGCCGTTTCGGCCTTCATGCAAAACACTCTTCAATCAAAATGAACACCTGGAATTGAAATCACTCTGAATACCAGCTTCTTGAATAGAATGATACGTGTGGTTCTGCTACATAAAACACATAGTCAAAATTAGTAAAAAACAATGACATATACACAAGTATTACTAGTATATACTTGAATTTACCACAAACATCATAAACCATGACCCACTAACTTCCTTTGGTATATCCCTATAACAAATCTGTTATCACCTCTATGGTCCTTGTAATTCCCTCTAACCTCTTTCACAACTTTTCTCCTACAAGTCTTTAACATAAACTACATTAACAGACTAAGAGAACATACTTAACAAAACATAAGTTCATAAAATGTAGCAAACTTATGAAAAGGGTGAATTGAGTCCAAGATACCAGTCTTTCAAGCAAAACAAATAGTGTCGAGACCTAAGAACAATCTAAATAGTTTCATGCACAATGACAATGCTATAACAACCCCACAAGTGAAAGCAATACACCAACAGTGAGAAAAACTCACCTTATCAATGATGTGATGAAAGGCAAGTAAAGAGGAAAATTCATCACAAAAACTTTATTTTGTAACTACATGATGTACCTGAAAGAAACATGTTAGATTTCTATAGGCATAGGAGCATCCACATCTATACTTCACAAATAATTAGAACTCTGTTATCCCACTTTAAGTTTAAGCAAACAACATGCACTATGTAACTTTCGTAGTCAGGAATGTTTATTCTTCAAAGTGGCATCAATAATCGCAATAATTGTTAAAACTTCACCTTAAAAGTATAAGCACTTAGTATGTTTTTCATTTCAAATTTGTGTCAAACTGCATGGCTACGAAACTCTTTGACAAAGAAGGGAAACAATAAGAATATCCTCTCACTAATCCCACTAACACTTGCAATAAAATGATAACAATATATCCTCTCACTAATCCCACTACAAGATTTCAGAATCAAAGTAATATCAAGATTAAGCTCAATTGTAGGCATCAATCGTTGGTTCCATTCTTAA